GGGGGGGGGGGGGGGGGGGGGGGGGGGGGGGGGGGGGGGGGGGGGGGGCGCTGCAGCCCCCCAGCTGCGGAAAGTATGTAATTTTTCGGGCAAAACGCTCATGATTCGGGCAACGATACTTGAGAGAAAACATTACGAAATAATGCTGTTGGCGTGATTTCCCAAACTCGTAAATAAAGTTTCTAGTTAGATACTTTTTGCTTTTTTAGAACTTTTTCTCCTAGGCCCTGTTTACAAGTAGGTAGGGTATTAAGGAGGTGGGGTGGGGGGTGGGGGGGGGGGGGATAAACTGTGTTTACAAGCAAACGTTTTGGGGGATGGTTACCCTACTACCCGCGACAACTTTAGCCCGTCGGGCTTGGATTAACCTGGTAACTGATACACGCAATTAATAATAATTTTATCGCCACAACCTGTTTTCACTTGAATTACGTGGTTTATCAGTTGCACTGAAATAGCTCAATTAAAATCGCAGACAGTTACTTTTGAATTTGACGGCGAAAATATAAAAACAATCGAATATTTTAGCGACAGTAGCGACAAACACCATTGCAAAAAAATTCGTCGCAAAAAGCCGTTATTCGAAATTTTTTCATATCCAAAGCAAAACTAATGCAAAATGTGAATTAATACGATGTTCCTTAAGTCACAATTTGTTCGTTTTGCCGGTATATGGCAAGCCGTTTGTAGCAAAATTAAATCCTTGCAATATATGTTTAATCCTTTAAATAACGGTTTTATTTAAAGATAGAAAAAGGCATTCAATNCAATCGAATATTTTAGCGACAGTAGCGACAAACACCATTGCAAAAAAATTCGTCGCAAAAAGCCGTTATTCGAAATTTTTTTATATCCAAAACAAAACTAATACAAAATGTGAATTAATACGATGTTCCTTAAGTCACAATTTGTTCGTTTTGCCGGTATTTTTACCATATTTTGTTTCTTGGAGCCCAAATCGAGACTCCCCATCCTAGCGCCAGGGTTTCCAACTTGTAAACATGGCCTAAACCGCGAGTACCCTGGGTTCGAACTGGTATTTCGAATGTTCGCGGTGACGTGCGAATGTGCAAGAACTATTTTGTGGCCAAACTCGTGCTTGGAGGTATGAAATTGCGTAGGCTGGGATACTGATGCTGCCGTCGTCGCAAGTTTTAACAAACGCACTTGAAATTGTCAGCGATTATTTGTGGAATTTTACTATGGCACGTACGCATTTGCAAGAACCTTTTGTTCTGGTCATGCATCGGTTCGGAAAATTGCGTTACTTCGTATTTAATTTCCATATCAAAGCACCTCCGAGCCCACAGTGCTCCGCAGCGAGTAATTATATTCTAGAAACAGGGATTATTTTAGCATTAGCGCTTCGCTTCGTTTGGAGGACGGGTCCTAGGTCAAGATGGCTTGCTTTTCGCCAAAAGTTTACTTTCTGATTCTCTTGTGCACTTGGCTGTCGTGCCAGTTCTTCGTGCCATCGGATTCCCGAGCTTTATTCAGACGAGTAAGTTATAATTTTACTTATTTAAAACTCTTCTAAAATATTAATTATTGTTTAGTCCATTGACACTTGTTAAACTTGAATAAAAAAGTCGTATGTCTTCTTCGTTCAGATGTCTTGGGTTGAAAGTGACTAACAAATAAGCGCGTTCTATCGTTTGGTTTAATTTTCAGGCAGCTGAACGTGAAGAAAAAAGTACAAACGGTACTAACGGTACTAAAGAAGAAGAACCTTGCACGTATGAGACCTATCCTTGTTCAGCCACGGTAAGCTTGAATTCATCAGAACTTTTCTTTAGAAGTAATTTGAAAGGGATTTTTAATCGCCGAGCTGCGAAAAACTTTCATTTGTCCATCCTTGCTGGAGCTAATCGGCAATCGAGCGGGAAAGTATGCGAGAAAGCTTAATACGTTGTTCAGAGCAGATTCTAGAGTAATTGTACACTTAATGTAAGCCTTTTGTATTTTTATACATTGTTTTTACTCCGAGGACGAACCTTGAAGAGAAGAAGAATGTGTTAAGAAAGTTTTAGGTAAATTGTAAAGTACCTTCGATCGCGTTTGCCGCCAAACTTGACTGCACACTTGTTAATTGTCGAAGCGGGCGTGTAAACAAAGTTATGATAATCTTCATACGCCCCTTTCAAGTTTACTATCCGAGCTTTATATCGATTTTGTTAGGTTTAATATTCATAATTTCGAGCTGATTGTCTTTATTAAATTTCCGACTTTATCCTATAGCGTTTTAACATGTGACGGGTACGTACATGTACATGGTTAATGTTTGTACGTTTTGAATTTCATGACCAAAAAAACATATTCAAGACGATCACGGTCTATTTCACAGCTGTTAGATTTGCATGCGTAGCTTTGTTTGATCGCAGCTAATATGAGCTTTTTTCAAAGAACAAAGCATACATGTTGCTATCGTTTGGAACTTGTTAAAAGATCTTTTTCGTTTCGGAAGTGTTTGAATATTTTGTTCAGACAAACACTCAAAAAACGAATGTTATCCTCGCGGATTAAGCTTAATATACACTCCAACAATTCGGACTAAAAAAAGATGTGTGTATTGAAGCAGAAAAAAAATATTGTTTTCCGATGTGTGTTGGTTTCTAGATTTTGCGATCTGTTGATGGTTTGGGTTATCCAACTTTTGTACATTTCTTGAATAGTTCGCGAAATTGTACCAGTAAACATTTCCAAATGAACGTTAATTCTCGAGAAATTCAGCACCAAAAAGTCAGAATTATTTGGATGACATTTTTTGAACAATACAATTTTGAAGAACAAGTCATGTAGGACGTTTGGCTTGGTAAACTTGGTTTGATCACGTTTCAAATAGTCCCTGCTCTTTGAAGATTTCTTTGCTGTTAGTTGGTTGATAACCTCGATTTAACAAAGATCTGGAAGCAGAGAACAGTAAAACATGAACATCTGTAATCTTGCTTCCCTAAATCACTGAAGTGAAAACTTTTCGAGACTTATTTTTTTCCAGTTCACCGATCATGATCAAGGCGTCCTTTAGATTTGAAAAGAACAACGCTGAACGCTTGCTTTCATTGATATGCAAATAGTTGTTTTCGCTTCTTTTCTGGAGTGAAGCGAGTGGAACTTTAATTGTGATCCAAAAAATAAAATTCTAGACAGTTTCTAGAATCCCTGAAATTTTTTCAAACCCTTTCTCCACCAAAGATGCCACATGTTGTGTGTACTGGTTATTGCAGTGAGTCCAGTTAAATCCATAATAAAAGCCAGAGCTTAGCATTTTTTTCAGCTTGACTGCCACCAATGAATAGATGATTGTTTTTAGTGCTTACATACCACAACATTTTTCTTGAACATTCTACTCTTAAAAGGAAATGATTGTTTGGGATGACACACCCAAGCCAAGCAAAAGAATCACACAGCAAAAGGTTTAAAGATATTTGATATGTAATCATTTGTCTTTGGCGTCCACAAAATCTAATCAAAGGAAAACTGCTGTATCTTGGATTTGTTTGTTGCTGAAACTTGCCCAAAAAAAACTGCATAATTTGAAGAAATGTTCCAGAATATAAAACATTGTTCACAGCTCTGTTGCTCCTCTATTAATTCAACTTATTTGCGTTAAATAGTGTACATAAAGAACTGCTTCCTGGATCATCTTTGCATCTAGACCCACTAATGGCAGTCTCAGTAACTTGAACAAAGATACCTGTAGGTAGACCAAAATAGAATCTCTTGCTAGGTGTCAATGGTTTCAACGCTGTCGAAGTTGGTTTATGCACCAGTGCATGTTTATGGATCAAGCAAAAATTGAGTTCAACCATGGTGATCTCATTGTGTTCTCAGTTTTCAGCATGTGTAAATAATGAGATTCAGTGACTGGAGGAAGTGTGACCCAGGCCCCCACCTTTTCTCCGTCCATCTACCTCTGAGCTTGTTAATATAAATTGGCTTAAGCAAGTCTTATTGTCTGACCTTGTGCACTAACATTGCATATACATTTTAATTGCCTTGCAGATAACTGGTAACCTTCTGTTGATGGTGTTTTATGGTGCTATCCTTGGTGTTGCAGCAAAATGTATCTCTGGTATGTTTCCCTACAACATTACATCACAGAACATCTTATTAACTGCGCGGCCAGGGGCCAAGCGCAGTTCATGTTTGTTTATTTATTTATTTATTTATTTATTTATTTATTTATTTATTTATTTATTTATTTTTTCTTTGTTTTGTTGGTGACCAGACCCAAACTTCCTCTCGGCCAAATTTTGAATCA